AAAAGAAATTAAAAGGTGGTACTTGTTGTTACCCTGTCTGGAGCTCGGCATTAAGGGGCTAAAACAAGGACTGGTCAGCTCGGAGTCAGTATACTGTGTCTAAGTGGGGTATTCATGTTTAACTGCGGCATGGTATCTCAGTGGACAAGCACTATAAATTGGCATCAGTCCGGACTTGTACAAGCAGCCACACACACATGTGCATGCACGTCGCTATATAAACAGTAATCACGGCTGTGACATTAAACCCAATTTCACCTCACTTTCACCTATGTCCCAGTATTGCTGCAATATTGCTGGAAGTGGCATAAAACAATACTCACTCATATTAATGATTTCAGCCCATCCAACAGGTCAAAGAAGAGAGATTGAAATCAACAAAGTCAGTTATTTTCAGTCAGCAAGCAAAACATTGCCACAAAACAATAAAGCTTGGAATCACTTTTCTTCCACAACCACTTCAAAACCAGAAATGTCAAATCTTATATAGTACCCCAAACTGTGTTGACTTTTGTGCAATATTTCTGGAGTCAGACGTCTGTTCAAAAAACTTCAATGGTCACTAATTAAATCCTCTCTTTTATCTGGGAGTTGCGCCTGATTCTTGCATCCCCCACTTCACTCGTGCCTTTCATTCCTCTACAATATTTGGTGTCGGGAACTTGTTTATTTTTCAGGCTCATCACTCTACTCCTTGTCTGTCATTTATCTTTGAGGACAGAAAAGACAACCAACCTGTCTTCTCAATAAACAAGTTTTTTCCCCCACGTCTTGAGGTTTTGTACCCTTCCTGATCATAAGCTAGGATTGATTTCTTAACAAGCTTTGATCAAAGTTGACTCTCTCTTCCTTCCATCTATGATCAAACTTTTTCTGGACGATATTAAGGCTTCAGAAGACATTCGTGTAAATCTCGCAATCCTGTGTTTTAATTAAGACCCCAGATTTAGTGACTTTACCAACTTCTCATAAAAACAATCTTTCTCAACTCAACCATCTTCATTTACTCATATGGACCTTCCAAGGTCTCTGTCAGGACATGCCTGGCCTTTTTCTAAGCCTATTTTGAAATCATCTGAAGGATGAGGTTATTTGTAAAGCACATCTGATGTGCATTGAATTACAAGGCATCATTGAGGAAAAACATTTAAATCAGAGGTTGAAACTGTACAACCTTTATTAAATCAAGATTGGAGAAGATGGACAGATGTTTCAACAGTTCTTATAAAGACTCAACTTTTTCAGAAATGTAAAATACCTCCTTTGTGGAACATATTTTTTCATTATTTTTCTTGAAAATTCCATTATCAGTTTGACAAACACCCTTCCTCCCATATAACACTGGTTGAAATATGGGCTTTTCTCCTCAGTGATAAAGGGCTGAAAATATTTATTTTTGGGAAAAAGAAAAGTCTGTTTGACAAACACCCATCCAGAAAGGTAACCTGGCTTGAAAATAGGATTTCCTAATGTTGGGAGGAATTGGAAAACGGCTATCTATCAATAAAGTGCAAAAATTGGAAAAACTAATTGAGATGATATCATAAAGGGCAAAGTTAAACAACCAAGAACTATTTTTGCGAGGTGGTCAGGTGTGCATTTCAATGGTACAAACAAACCACCAATAAGTGTGACGTTTCAAGCCAAGTCTGGTTGTACGTTGTTTTTAGAATGCAAGTCTATTTTGTGACAGTGAAATTCTGTCAGAAAAGCATTTAATTGCTCATATGACCTCAAATATGTCACGTCCATCTGCCCATTAATATTCTCACAAATGCCTCTGTGTTGACTCTTAATGGGCCAGTTATTAGAAATTGTTTGATCAAATGTATCAAATTAGGTCAATGTTACTGTCAAATATTTGCTGGATGTTAAACTTCAATATCCAGTCTGGTTCTAAAACCCACTGTCGCACTGGTTCATTGATTCGATACATGACCAATGAGCAAAGATCTTTAATCTTGACAAGATTGGTAATGAAATATTAGCACCTGACATCCACTTAATTCATAGGCACATGATAGTATTGCTGTCACAACAGTCCATCAGGTCCCTTGCTATGCAGGGCTGTCAGTGAGCATGTTTTTACCTGTTTGAGTGAGTGAGTGAGTGAGTGAGTGAGTGAGTGAGTGAGTGAGTGAGTGTTCGTAAGCGAGCAAGTGAGTGGACTCCAGTTTGAACAGGATTTCAGTTACATGATTGCCGACACCTTACTTTCCGAGGAAAGTCAAGAGTGAAGCAGGATTTCAGTTGCATGATTGCACGTCATCTTACTTTCCAAGGAAAGTCAAGAGTGATGCAGGATTTCAGTTGCATGATTGCACGTCATCTTACTTTCAGAGGAAAGTCAAGAGTGATGCAGGATTTCAGTTGCATGATCGCACGTCATCTTACTTTCCGAGGAAAGTCAAGAGTGAAGCAGGATTTCAGTTGCATGATTGCACGTCATCTTACTTTCCGAGGAAAGTCAAGAGTGATGCAGGATTTCAGTTGCATGATTGCACGTCATCTTACTTTCAGAGGAAAGTCAAGAGTGATGCAGGATTTCAGTTACATGATTGCACGTCATCTTACTTTCAGAGAAAAGTCAAGAGTGAAGCAGGATGTAAATGTCTGACAGACCAAGGGTCATAATCAGGGAAAATCTGGGATTCAAACCCATCAACAGCCGGTTGTAGTTTACTTTTTCTTGGTGACACTGGTCATGCACATTTACCACCGTGGTGCCGATAGACAGTTTACGTCACTCTGATAGCATGAGACAAGGATTGAAGACGATCATGATGGAGATTATTAATATGGCATAAATACTAATATCATACAAGTTTAATAATCCCTATTCTCTCCTTTAATCTATCTGGACCCAGTAGACAAACCCCACTTGACATCAGACAGCCATTGTCACAAGGAGTGCACTGTCACAAAGCAGAAATTACGTCACTCTGTCTGCATGAAAGAACTGATAATTCATAATTGATTCCCAGAAATTGCTCATCAATATGTGCAAAATGGTAAACTATTAATTGGCGCAGCATTGGCAGCAGGTGCTTGTGAAGAGTAGCAGACAATGGGGATGATTCACCCATTTCAAAACAACACGTTATAACACAACCACTGCCATTAGCCCTATGGATCTAAAAATTGCAATGTCTATCAGCAAATTCATATCATGTGGCAGAAGTTTTAATTTCCTTTCATTTGAAAGCTCTGTGATAATTTCAATTCAATCTTTTCTTCATTGGCGCCCAATGAGCCGTGTCCGATAGAGAGCCATTTCTTTATTAATGAGTAGTTGACGCAGTTGACCATGGATGGCTTTCTCCGTCACTTGCCGCCTCGGCATTGTGAAACAGCACTCAGCAGTGTCGACAACCAGCTTTGTCCACCCTATCCACAAATGACAAAGACATTTGCCAATTTCATCCCACTAATTCTGATTTATCCTAACATAACCCACACCAGACCATGTATCTAAATAATATTCATTCAGCCACAGACTTCACTTTTTTATGATTTGTGTATTTTTATAATATGATTTATAGAAAAGCCTGATAATCTAATTATTACATTTAATAGCTGCGTGTCTCTTTCTCAAACCTCAATGGCAGGACAGATTTTGTTCAATTCTTTTGTTAAAAATATCATAAATCTATATAATTTCATGAAAATCTCAAACGGAACAGCACCATGTTATTGTCAAGTAATGATGACCCAAAAGAACCTATTGCCAAGGATCAAATTTAGTCTGCTTATACCAAAACAATCTGTCACTTTATAAAAAAGTTAAATATCTAGATGACAAATTTGTAGGATTATTTTGCAATAACACAACACAAAAACATATGGCCTGATGTCTTCACTAAATTTCACTGAAGCCAGTGTGCAGTATGTTGCGTCATGTGCTACTAATTTAATTATGCCGCCACAGCGTTACGACTTAAAGGGTCATTAAGACAGCAGGTCATATCAGCACTATCTGCACGAACTGCTTGTCTGAGTTTCAACATCTCCTTCTTCATGGCTGCCACCGTGGACAATGTCGACTCCATTAGTAGCAACAACACAGAAGTAAAATGCTTGATAAAACACAAGGCTATCAAGCACTTTGTGACAGCCCTAGATCCTCAGTGACATGTCAACTTAAGACACAACATTGTCACTCAAAGGAGGCGGGATTGACGCCTGAACATTCTCGTCAAGACTCCCCGTCAATCAATACGTGACAGTGCACGGCCCTGCTCTCAACTGTGTCATGAGATATGCACTAATTCTGCCACAATGCATTGATACATACAACTACACAAGTAGCTTAGCCAAGGAACAAGAGTATTTCAACATCTTCATATCATCATGACATCAATATTCTTTTCCTTTCTTACAAAGCAGTCTTGAATGTCATGTTGTATTGAAACTGTTCTATTGTCATCTGTGGTCAGGGCCACTGAAACAATGACTTCTTCACTCCGTGTGTGTTTATCATGTGTGGTCGCTGCCGATGGGGAAGATACCGATAGAAAGGAGAGTCAACAAAGGGGGATAATCGGATACCTTGACACGTGTTTCAAGTTGGTGTAACATGTGGTTTGACAATGAAAACTGAAACAAGATGAAAATAAACAACATAGATATCAAAGGAAAATAGTTTTGGGAAAAAAAGACAACATTGACTGGTTCTGGGTCTCTGTTCCAAGAAACTAAACATACGAGCACAACGCTGGGGCACTCACACTTGCCACTTTCTAACACAGATCATGTCATCTATGGAAGCAGAAGCTTCAACAACACAAAATTATCTAAAAAAAACCAGGATTTTTAAAATGAACAAATGAAAGGGGTGCACGATTTGATTTTTAAAATAAAATTTCTTTCAATTTTGACAAAATGATGAAATTTGAATTTGTACTAAAATAAGTGTTTTGGTTCCCATTCTAAAATCTTACCTACGTATTTAACAAATAAGCCAAACAACAGATGTACAAGGACAACATAAGAGTACTTACATATTAATCCTGAGAAATGCAAGGACACATAAGGGACAGCTTAGATTGATGACATTTCATAATAGTGCAACCAAACACTGAATAACACAAACAAACCTTCAAATCAGGGAGAAATCAACATTTTCCATGGATTCCAAATTCCTTTCTTGATGCATGATAGGTACACAAGTAACTTACAGACAAAATAGTGAAAGGAAATATCAAAATTAAAGTAATCAATCATTCCTATCCGTGAACAGACATGTGGGTGCATAGAAATTGCTGAAGTAAGATCAGTGATGGATGAGAGGTCAGGGTGATAAAGGGAGATCACTCCAGATAGAGTTTCAATGGATCACAAGATACAAACCTGTACACACAGACGCTGCAGGTAAAGCTAATACAGTTCTCCTACAATAACCACAGCTGTAAATAAATAACTTTGGACAGTCCTTTACCAAAATGTCTGATCATGTCATAGCCTAAAGATACATATTTCAATAAATCAGACTTCTGTAGTATTGAAGATGATTACACCGAAAAGTGCATCAGATATCAATGTGCCTATTTCTTTCTATAATAATGTCTAGCTATCTAATGGGCCATGGTCAAGTTGTCAGGATGTCAAGTTAATTCCCTTATTTTCTGCACGTCACAACTACCAGTATTTGTACTTTGTGTTGCCATATTACCAGAGTCTATCATAGGCTATAAGATGACTGTCACACAGCAACCTTGCAAGACATGATGAATGTGTAACCAGTATCAGTTGAGCGGGATGTACAGTTTGATAAGCCGGTCGTCCGTGAAGCACCCTGCATGGTGAGTGTGTGGACTGCTGCACAAGCAGCTGTATAACGACTGTGGAATCAAAGTGTGTGTGATGTACTCACTTGTTCTCCAGGGAACACCAGCCACAGTAGGGATCCTTGGCCCCCAGACATTCCCCACAGGTCTTGTACTGGCTGCACTCCTGGACCTTCAGTTTGGACAACTGAAAATAAATACATACGGTGAAGGAGCAGGTCGTGAATTCATGAACAGTAAACTACAGTTATAACAAACTCAAAGGGACCACGAATATTAGTTCGTTATAAGCACAAGTACAGCATATATACAGCAAATGGCTGGGACAATACCATAAGTTCGTCATATCGTCAGTTTGTTATAAAGGTTCACTGTTTGTCAATTTTAATAATTGCATTTTGGTAGCTCAAATATTATCAGCATCATCATCAATTAATCTTTTCATAATGATAATCATCCTAACCATACCTGTCTTGTTATATTGGCTGTTGTCTCCCTCACAACCCAACCTAACTTTACAATTAATGTGGTCATCACACACAACCCATCTCTACAACTGTTGTGGTCGTCACGGTAATCGTCAGTGTCCATGTCAACACAACATTGTCAGTCCAACCTTGTAGAATGATGTGAGGATTCTGTCATTAAGTAATTGTTTTTGCATGTGCATTATTTCAGATGCAGCAATCTGTTTTCCTTTCAAAGTTATCTTTAGCCACCAAACCTGTCATTTCCATACCATGTAATTTCTAAGCCAAACATAGCAACATGTCAAGATGATCTTAACTGTCTTAACATAGTTCTGGTAAAATGAACCTTCAGTATACCAGCTTCACTGTCAATCATCTACAACCAAGGAAAGTACTTCAAGCTTGACTGAGAGCTGCACAATTTACTACAGCCTTCCCTACATTTTACTACAGCCTTCCCTACATTTTACTACAGCCTTTCCTACATTTTACTGCAAGCCCTCCTAGCTTTTCAATCAGAAGTTGATGGACAAGTTGATGGACATAGGTCAGTCATATTTTCACCAATGGGGTTTGACCAGTAAGAAAGAAAGAAGCGGAATGTGTTTCTGCGGCCAGGGAAATTAAAGAGATTTGTACAGGGAATCCTGCCTCCACTAAAACCACACATGTACATCTCAGACATGGAAATCTCATCTGACAAGTTTAATTGCAAAACTGGGGAGAGTAGGTCCGCAGCAAACAGGTTAATCATACACACAGACAGACTGTCAGCCAATCACAGGACAGAGAGAAGGGGAATCATGGGATACATGTCTTCTTTATGGCATAGGGTCATAAAATTCTAATTTTGTTTCTAAATATTTCCTTCAGAACTCTTTAATGAATTTGATAAGTAATTTCTCAAACACATGATTACCAAGACATACAGTGATTACTTAAAAAACACATTTGTCTGCCGGCATAATCGTGACACAATATCATGCTAGCAGACGTCACGGAAGAGGTTAAGGTAATGAAACTGCAGGCTCAGTTGAAGAGGAGAACTATTGATATAGCAGAGGGCATCCATGATCAGCTGCAACCCAAGAAGTTCTTGCTCATGTCCACTGATGTTGAAAGAAGCGAACAATTCCCCATCTTTCTATCCACGTAACCATGACAGGCGGCCATCTCGGAAGCCCTGTATTTACTAGTTTCATGTCTATACCAACCCAGATACAGTCATCTTCTTGGAGTAGTTTTGAATGATGATACAGTTCAAGGGTAGGCAATCTGTCAAGCCTCACATTATTCCAGCATGTTTGGGAAATGTCCCCGACAAAGACCATCATGATGGTACTGTTGGTAATTGATGGCTCTGCTGCCTCCTGGACCTCTCACACCAAAGCAAACCCGTATTCAGACACAAGAAAATCTCGAAACATTTACCAAATCATTTACCGCTTGCAGGAGCTAATCACAATTGTGAAGGAAGGTCAGGCAACAAAAGGATCCTCAGCCACGAAGGAATTGCCAAGATGTAGATAAAATAGCCGTATAAAAGCATGACAAATTGATTTCTCAAACATAAAGGAATAATCTGTTATTTAAATACGAAATAGTCCTGTCCCAGTCAATACTATATCAATGTATCTGAATATGATTGTCATGATTTCTGGAAGAGGAAAACATGGGCTTCAGTGAGATGCTACAACTCGGACGTATATTTGAAAAATCGGAATCGTTAACAATATTTGCGGAGGAGAACAGAAGCGGAATTGTTTATCCTTATTTCTGTCAGAAGCAGCAGAACCGTTAACAATATTTGCAGAGGAGAACAGAAGCGGAATTGTTTATCCTTATTTCTGTCAGGAGCAGCAGAACCATCTCGGTTTTGTTCAGGAATCAATGCATTGTATGTATTTAGTCCTGAATAACAATCACACAGATCCAACTCTTCCTGATTGGCTCATTAAGCTAAACAGCGGCTGAATTCACTTCTATTCGCATAAACATTCTTATATGTGCTTTGGTTATATAGACCCATCTCGCTGTGGCATTTGCTATCAGAAAATGTTTATTTGGAGCAAAAATAAATTTGATAATGGTTTAGTAAAGATGCCCACAGGGCAAACTTTCCTTGGCAAGAATGTGATGCGATTTGGGGGTTTAAGTTGCTGTTTAAACACATCAAGTCTTTCTAAAAGATTTTCTGACAATGAAAAAATATAATTCAATACTTAGGGACTGTATAGTAAATATATTTTTTTCATTTTTGATAACAGTTTTCTGCAACAAATATTTGATAAGAGGTGATGATAAAGACACAGATATTTTAAGGTAATATTTTAAATCAAGAATGAGCCTGTGCAGTAATCTCTAAAAATACAAATACATCATCTTGGCTGGTGTTTTTGAGATAACCCCCGGCAGCCATTTTGATAGTGCATATGATTCTCTCAACCTCCCCTATCACCTCAGTTCAAACGTGGCTGAAATGTTTGGAAGGAAAACAGGCTAAACGGTACAGAATTATTCTTCCCCAGAAATTAATCATTGTGAAATCTGACAAGATGTCTTAGGAGTGGGGTCACCTACTATTATGTTGACATGTGAAATGATATTTAATGTTTGGAACCACTGCATGATAAATAGGGAAAATCCATTTCATCATTTGAACAAAGTAGTATCATGTCAAAGTTGCCTAAATGAAGAATAAACTGACTTTGTTTATTACACGTGTCTGAATATCTATTGAGGCTAAAGGGAGGCTATCTGGACTAAAAAAGATGTTCTCCCCACGTACAACTTTACTTAACATCGAGACAAAAACAGCTAGCAGTAATAACTTCTTTCCAAGAACACAAGACATTTTTCCAAAGCATGTACATTGAAGTTGTGAAATTTGCCAGGAAATGAAGCAGCAATTGTTTTATAAACTAAACATGCTTATTCAGGGCTTTCCTGAGTTAGGAGAACATGAGCTGGACACAAAGCCCCATTTCTACCCAGCTTCCCCCACCACCAGACACATATCACCTACAGGCCGCTTGACAAATTTGTACATCTCTCACCAGTTGGCAGGCCTTTCAGCTTGAAACACATGGATTGTTATAACTGTCACATTTAGGGGTTAATGCTGTCAGGCTCACATATTTACTTTTATCAGACTAGCGAGGATCATATCAAAGATTTGTGTTTTTAACTTTGGCGAGTTGATCCCATGATCATGTTTGATAAGAATATTTTGTTTGAAGTGGTCTTTTGTTCTGAATTTTTTTTATCATCGATGCTGAGACAAGTCACAAAGGCTATTCCAATATTTGTCATTTCAAATCTTCTCTTAACATATTGGTTATATAATCCCAAGATACTCATTTGATATTCCTACAATGACGGGTTATTTTTCCAAATTTGTTTGATTTGCAATCCCCAAATGTTTTAATTTGATTAATCTGTCATGCAACAGAGTGAATTGTGACTCATTAATTACTGTGGAGGCTAAATTGAAGAAAGCTGAAGCGACATTTTCAATGTGTGTGAACAAATCCAAGATGGCTGCCACAGTCGTCTGCTTCTCTCGTTTGTCCCCCTCTTCAATCCATCACACAACCCTAAAACACCATTAAATTTTAATCCTGAATTCACATTTTGATGAGTGAATCTGAAAATGATATTCATCAACCCTATTATAATATTAGTCATCTGATGCGACGAAATAATTGCATGGCTGAGTGGACACGAACAATGCCGTTTTGACAGAGGGGAGTTGGCCTGCAGGGAGCGATGGCAAACACACACCCCACAAAAACTCAGCGGAAGTCCTGCTGATTAAAACCCAAGCGTAATGCACCAAATTGTCCACTCTTACACAATAGAACAGATGACATGAAAATAATTCATGTCGAGCAATGAAATCACAACAAGAACGAAATATGAAATTATACTGTCTTTCTGGATGGCTGATCCAAAAACACTCCATCAGAAAAATACTACAAGAAATCTGTCAGTTTCAGGAAGAGATATTACTGACAGAGAAAACAAATAAAGATTGGCCCTCACTTAAGCAACAGAACCTCCCAGTCGTGTAATCAAAATCTTAACTTAATTAAATCTGACGTGTGCAATAGCAGTGCTGCCTTCTCAAACTTTTCTGCAATATGTAGGAAGATATTTGGCGTAATTGTTTTCCTGGCATTATGCATCTGGAACTGACCCCAAGACATCGAAGACTGTCAATAATTGTGGAATGACCTCTGACCCAGCATTCCTGCAACAACTAAATGAGTCGAAGAAATCATGCTCATATTTCCCTGAAAGCACTGGTTGATTCCCTGGCTGTTCTAAGCCAACGCTAATGAAGTAACGTGCATGCCATTTTCATTCCTAATATTTCCAAATGTTTCCTTTTATTCATTTGCTTCCCTAAGCCCTGCCTGTTAATGCTTGACCCGAGACTCCTGTTAAATGTATTACTCGCAGGACAGAGCGGAACTATAAACAGGCAATCTATAAACCCTCTCCAAAACTTTGAAATAATATTTGTGATAGACAAACAACATGATTTGAGCATGTAGTCACAAATTCAATAATATTTGAACACAAAGTAGCAAAAACATTTCACAATTCCAATCCACACACAAATTGCAATATCACTTTCCATGTCATCACAAAAAAGCTAAATGTTTGGACAAAACTATGAACATCAACAACCGGACAGTATAAACCACCTGAA